TTGTATACTGGTGGCTGGCAGGAATATGTTAGGCACTTGGATGATTCACTGGGGAATCTCATGGCATTCCCATGCCCAGTTATAACTATCAATGTATTAAGTACAACAACCATAGCACTAAGAGCATGGAAACCCAAGGCTCAGAACTCTCAGGAAAACATCAGGCAAGCCTCTTACATGAGTAGAAGTACTAGCTGAAGGAGAGAGAAATCTAGAATGCCTAGGGGTGAGGGGAAAATAATTGGTATCAATAATGGCCTTGATACCACCTGCATTAGTGTACCACCCCCACTATTCTTCCTCAAGTAAGTTTTCTTGGAAATTGTGACCAACCAGAATCTTGGATAAGCTTTGCCTGGATGGAGTGACCTTGAGTGGGAAGCAGGTGGATCTGAAGGCTGCAAGGGGTGAAGTACTGTGTACCTTTCCTCCATTTGCTGCAAATGTTAGCTGATCACAGTTCATAGACACCCCCTTCTCTGGTGACTTACCCTCTGCTAACACTTCTCTAGGGAGGCTTCTCCCTGCCATGGGGAACAGACCAATAGCCAATGGCCAATGGACGCGAGTGTAGAAAAGGCCATCCATTTTGCCTCAAGGAGGGATCATCTCTGTGGAACAATTCACCTTTCAGAGCTTCTCCAAAGAACCATACTGGTCTATTCCAGATGAGACTCTATTTGTGTTTAGTTTTTAATCTCCTGTTCTATCCTGTTTTACTCACTCTCCTTCTCCTGAGAGCACTCTTTCAACAAATCACACAAGCAAGAACAAGATAGAAAGGATCCTAGGTTCTCACCCTAACCATTTAGAGTGTAAATGTATCATTCCAAGGGTCAGATACACCCCAGATATCTCCAAGGTCTGGGCTTTATTCCTAGGCAGATAGCGTCCCAGTCTTTTTTGGATAGTGAGTACACTAGTGTTCATTTTGTGAACATGTTCTACAACTTATATATACATTACACTGATTATTTTTTGTGTAAAATAGCTCATTTTGAGCTATTTATACTTTCTGTATGAAAAGAGCATTTTGTACAGAAAGTGTAAAGAACAGAAAGGAAGGAAGAATGAAAACAAGGAAGGTGAAAGGAGGGAAGGAGAGAGGAGGGGAAAGACCTTTCATAAAATCTTCATCCAAAATATCAGCGGCATGGTGGAAATGGAACAGTAAAACGACAAAAAAGTCTATCTTCTGTAATGTACTTGACTTGGCAATTTAAGTAAGTTTTCTGACATAATGTATAATTTCTAATGTTCAAGAACTATTTTCTTGGCAAGATGTAAGAAAAGATATTAGTTCTGGAGTTAGTGTAGAACAGAACACAATTTACAAATTCTTAAAAGTAGCTGTAACAATGGTATGCAATATACACTACAGGCAATCTTAGTGATTCTCTTACAGACCCCACAACTTGGCTTTGGAGATGAGAAAGTATCTTTATCATGAACATTTGCTGTGCCAGGCTGACACCCACAATTCCTATGAATCCCCCCACTTCTCTCAGTTATTTTATATAGGCTAGGAAGGGATATGGGGGTGACCAACCACTGGGGATAGAATGGATGATGTGTGTTCTCTTGTTAAGCCCAAGGCAGGGTCTGACCCCAGCAATTTGCAACTCTTTTAAAAGGTGAGTATTTAACACAACTTTGTCCCGAGGTCTGGTTCATTGTTGCCAATTTGGGGACACAGGGAATGTCCTCCTCAACATCTTTTTAATTTTACACTGAAAACAATTATTAAAGAGAATTTTAAGTCTGCTTTGTAGATCAGTGTGCTGTATTAAAGAAAAGGAGAAAAAAATATATGTTCACACACACTGTGCATAGGAAATAGGATTATGAAATATGAAGTAACTCTTCATAAAATTCTATTTTGCAGGATGTCTCTCTTTGGTTTTAAATACAGGGGGAAGAGGTTTTTCTTATAGGCATCAGTCCCTTATACCACATCTTTCCTCTCCCTTGTGTTAATGTTCTGTGTAATGCTAATTAAATGGACATGTGCAACTAATTTAAGTGTTAACAGAATTCAAAGCAGTCTTAATTCCCCCTTCACCCAAAAATAGAATAAGAAAGCAAGTTGCTAGTCTCTAGACTTTATAGTAGACTGAAAACTGAATTGTAAAATCATATTTCACAGAAAAATCTAAATTGACTTCTCAGGTTATGAATACTTGATTATGGTAGGGACAGTTCGGAAATAGCCCCATTTTAATTCATTTAGAGGAGGCAGTTATTCATTATACTGAGTCTTATGGCCAAGAAAGAGAACAGAAAGAGCATAATTTTCCACTGTCAAGCTTAACATACATATAGAACAAATATTCTCACTCTGTTCTATGGCAGAATTGAGCCTGCTGAATACCACACGAAGGGTAGTGTTAATGATGGTCAAAGTGGTACTCTGGCATAAAAAAG